TGATGTCCTATTCGCCATCTTCCCTCACTCCATCCTTGTGCCTAGAAACCAGACACACATTCTAAACTTTCACCTGAGATGACTTCTGTGACCTCTCTGGACACCCACTCTTGTAGGATGAAAATTATTAAAAGTCCCCTCATTAATCCTGGTGTGGTTTGGCTGGTGTATGTGACTCAAGGTCCCTTCAGAACTGCAGGTCAGAAGCCTTCATGCGATTTGGAGCTCTGTGGCCTGGAGAAGGCTCCCGCAGTTCTGGAAGCAGGTTTGCAGATGAAGCTACTGGGGCTGGGGGGGCGGAGGGGGTGACTTTCTCTGTGCCAAGAACCAGGACAAATTGAGCAAGTGCAATGACTTCCAGCCATTATTTTCTCACAACTGCAAATAACCTACGCAAAAAGGAACACACAAAGAGGTATTTTATGAAAAGAAAGCAATGAGAGTTTCAAGTGTTATTTTGGAGATTTTAGAAGCCCTATCAGGTGAAAAACATTCAATCTTCCTTCATTTAAAAGTTTCTCAGCAATAGCCATTAATAAATGTCAGTGTAAAGAAAGCAATTTTTAAGATACAGGTCAAATGAAAGCAAAGATTCTTAGTCACATATTGCTTTAATTGTAGAAGATATTATCATTACTTTTAGCAAGATCTATTGATTCTTCACCTACTGGATTTAACTAACACCATTCTGAAGGTTGTTAGAAATATTGAGTAATTAAATGGAGAAAATCCATCTTGAATTGTGTAAAGGAAATACACAAATATAAATAATCTGATTATGCTTCAGTTATTCATAACTAGGGACATATAGAAAATCATTACTATAATTAATGACTGGGAACAAATAAGTAACTGGGACAAAAAGCATTCATTAAATAATCCCAAAATAATTTATTTCTTCTGTTTGAAACTAATTCCCCAAAACACAGATGATAAGGGCTTATACCAAACAGTGAAAGAGACTTGAATTTCTTTTTTTTATTCACCTGTGTCCTGGGGCAGATGTGAGTGAACAACTACAAAAATTCCACAGAGTACTCACAGAAGAGAAAAGAAAAAGAGAAAAATTGAATCTAAATAATTTACAAATAAAGTTAATGTTCCAGTTGCTTCAACATTACTTGAATAAATAAATATTTAGATATTTAAAATAAATTTTGAATAATATTTAGATATAAAGATATTTAGATATTTAGAATAAAAAGATATTAAAAAATATCTTACAGTGTTACAGGTATCAACAATAGTATATCATATAAATCACTGATCAGCAGGAGGAGACCATGCACTTACACCCACGTGTAAGTGGAGTGAGATTAATTTTGTTATTTGATTGACCAATGCTTCAGAACATGGAGAGGCCCCACAGGGCAGAAGCAGAGTCATCCTCCCCCAGTCTGGTTTCCATAGTGACACTTGATGCATAATCTTGCATCTAACAACACTAAGTTTTTCAATGTTGGGGTCATGATTTTTTTTTAGCTCACATTCAGTTATTGGGTGCTTTCTAGTGTTACCCTGGGCTTTCCTTCCTTCAAACATTCAACTGGTTTCTATTCTTTATATGCAGAGAACTCATTCCCTCCTCACATTCTTTGGATTTCTGATCAAATACTACCTTCTTAGACCCAGACCACCCTATATAAAAAGTATTCCCATTATTCCCAATCTCTCCAATCCTGTCTTATTTCTCTTCAAAATACTTATCAGCATATTATCCACCTATTTTTTATTGTTTGTTCCCCATTAGACTGTGAGTTTTTGAATAGCAAGGGCTCTGTCAGTTTTGTTCACTGTTATATCCCAAGAACAGAGAACAGTACTCAGTAGATAGTTGTCCCTCAAAAAAAATTTGTTTAATACATGAATAAATGAGAAAACAACATTTTGTGAAGAAGAGAATTAGTCTTATTGTTACAGAACAGACGGGGGGGCCTGGGATGATATACTATTATTGAAAGAAGGCCCCGGGTCCATTATGTCCGCCGCCCTAGGAAAGACGTCTCTCAATGCCAGAGATTCGTGAAAAGGAAAGGAAATGTTTATTTAATGCTATACTAACTTAAAGTAGTGACCTAATGTCTTTATCAAAAATCCTAAAGTCCCTAAAAAATACCCACAAACACACACAGTCCTTCCTTCCTTCCCCCTTTGCCCAGTCCAGAGTACCGTATCTCAGGAAAGGAAATAGAAGTCCATGGCTCAGGCAGTCCTCTGGTTCTTCCCAGTTAGTCCTCCATCTCGAGTGGGAGACCTCCCTGGGTTCCCGGCACCCTCGGCTGAGTCGCCAGGATCTCTGCTAAAACCAGGTGGTGGTTCCTCCTTCTAAAGCTGTGGGGGTCCCCACTCTGGCACAGGCACGTGATCCTCTCTCCCAGGGCCACGGGAGTCTCCACTCTGTCAAGGCTGCGTGGTTCTCCTCCTCTGGGTTGCGGGAGTCTCCACTCTGCTAAAGATGTGTGGTTCTCCTCTCTCAGGGCTGCGGGAAGGGGAGAGTCCCCACTCTGCCAAAGCCGCGTGGTTCTCCCCCTCAGGGCTGCCGTGTCTGGGTTTAAATCCCCTGCACCAATCTTCTTCTGCAGCCCCATTTCCAACTCCTCCTACACTTGGGCACACTTGCCCTCAATCTGCTGTCTTCTCCAGCTTTTCTGGTCGCCATCGTGGGTCTGGGCAGGTGTCACCCCATGTCATGGAGCCAATCTTCTCCCAGCTCCCACGCAGGTGCTATAACTCAGGGGACCTGCCCCCCAGTCACATCTTGGGGGGGGGAGATCCCTTTCCATCCCCCTGGCCTTGAGCATGGCCATAGCTATTTAGCATATCTAAGTGACCAGCCAAAGGCTATAGGTATGCTAAATGACCATGCCATGGATTAGCTGCAAAGCTGCCCTGCATGTTCTTGCTCTGTGTGCCCCTTCCCCCAACTCACACCTGTGGGGGAAGGGGTGAAGACACCTTAAAATCTCCTGGACATCTTAAGTTCTGGACCCCATTTCAAATGCCTATTTGGGGTCCCCCCTATTGGCTGCACCCTGTAACATTATCTTAAATGTGTGTTAAGTTGAGGAGCTTGGAATCACGGGTTAAAAATGGAGAAAGAGGAGCTAGCTACCCACTCAATGTAGAAAATGAAGTGAAATGAAATTGGTGGGAGTAGATGAGTTCCTTCAGGTAAAGAAAAAATGCTGAGAAAGAAGAAAATGGGACTGAGGATCTCACAGAACCCTTGTTTTTGAAAAAAAGAAATATAGATGAGAATTCAATTAAAGTTATGGTAAATAGGCAGTCAGAGAAATAAGAAATGAACCTAAGGCATACAGTTCAAAGAGGCAAAAGATGCTCAGTTGAGCCCCAAACTGCAGGGAAGAGCAGCCAGATGAGGAGCAGGTGGATTGGTAGGCAGTCTCTGATGACCTCTGGAAAAGCAGCGATGGAAGAGTACAGCAAAAACCAGGTCTCGGCATCTCAGGACAGGAAGAGGACAGGGTGAAAAGGTGTAGTCAAGATTCCCTTTTTGAGTCACCCCACAGATACCTGAAATGTTTGTTAAATAAATGAATGCGTAGTTGAATAAATGGATACAGTTTTCTTCCCTGAGTCAAGAAGCACCTAAATTTTGGCTGAGGTCATGTGGTTAAAATGGTAAACCAACATTCTTTTCAACAGCATAGTTTACATAAACATATTTCCCTAATCAAAATCATCATAGCTGTTTTTCCTCAGTTAATTAGTTTATGCCCATAACTTGTTTTTAAGAAGCTCCAATGACTTTCATTTGTACTTCGTTTTGTATTTTAGTTTTAAATGCATTCTTAGTTAAAGGAGTTTTTAGAAAGTTACCTTGAGGCCCCCACCTGTGTCTCAGGAGGACCTTACTCTTACATTCTTGGGACTTGAGGGACTCTCAGCTGGGCTCCATTGATTTAGCTTTCCAGTTGTGCCAGAGGCAACTCATGCATAAAGGAGTGTGTCCGAAAGTGAACTAATGAAAGGCCTCGTGAGGCAGGTAACATGCCAAAATACGAAATATGAGAATCCACTCAGCTTTCCACCAGGCGGACCACCAAATAGTTATATGAATAAATATATTTCTAGTGGTACTTAAATGTAAAATTATGATTGCATTTCATGCTTTGCTGAGCACACAGCAGAGTGTATAGAGGTTGTCTGGAGGATGTTTTCAAACAGACTGCCAGGCCACATACTGCCCCATCTCTGATTCAGTAGTCTGGGGTGGGGCCGGATAATTTGCATTTGTAACAATTTCTCAAGTGATCTAAATGCTGCTGGACACACTTCCAAAAACCACTGGTCTATGCAATCTATACCATATATTTGTATAACTTCTGTCCCTTCTTTTCTGTTCTTCGCAGAGGAAGAGTCAAATTCTCATTTCAGTTCTACTGCCCTGGCTTCTGTCAGTTTAATTGTGAGAGGGAAAACATATATACATTACTTTAAAAGCAGGAACAAAGTAATGTTAGGAGTAACCAAGCCTGGGTTTCCAGCCTTCTACTCATTTACAAGTAGAATGAAGGCTTTATCTTGGTCAATAAGATGTTAGTGCCTCTTAAAAAATAAGGGCTCAATTGAACTATAAAAAGGTGATACAGCACCCTAACATTAAAAAGTGATTCTCTTTCAATTGTAAAGCATGCAATTTCATTTGCAAAACATGTCTCCATCAAAGTCTCTAAATACCAGAAAAGGAGGTTGGTGGTCCTGGAATGACAGAAAAGAATAACACTCACCACACAGATCTTAATTGTCTCATTTATTATTTTGTTTTTAAGTCAAAGAAGGAACAGTACACCTGGAGTCTAAACAATTGAGGTAGGCTGTAAGACTTAAATTGGGATATGTGTATGTAATTATTTTTCCTCCTTTGCTTAATGTATTGACAAAGAGAAGAGACAAGGCATGATATCGTAATTAGGGCACAATGTGACTGTATGTGCAGAGCTCACAAAGCAAATCTCATGAGACTCTACATGAGCATCTCACTTGCTCTGCACTTTGGCAATTCCAAACAGGTTACTGCCACGTTGATTAAAACATTTGAAAGAACAAATTAATATTCGAAGGGGTACGTGATGTAGATTTCTGCTTATCTTCCAGTTCTAAAAAGTAAAGATCAGAAATAAAATTCAGGCATTGCTCAATAAATCATTTTGAATAAAATAAATATTAGTTTCCTCAGAAATTTCATACCATTGATTTCTAAAGGACACATTATTCTATTTATGCTTGATTTGATATTTCTTCCACACAAACTTAACTAGCTAGGAAAGGCTTATTCAACACTAAATAAATTCAAATAATAAAAGACTTTTATTTTAATTCAATGCTTTTATCAAACACACTATATTGTCCAGCCATAACATGGTTAGGATGAAGGTAAATTACAATGCAAAATCATCGCAAACCTCACTTCTGTAACAAGGATGTTAAATGAATTAATCAGCAGACATTTATTGAACTATGCAGTGGACACCTTGGTTTTGCCTGTGCTCTGTCTGCAATGTTCATTAAAATCTTCACTAGTGGGGTTTCAGGCAGGTTGTCCAATACATGGCTTAAGATTTTGTACTTCAAATATCTCTAATCTTACTTCTTATTGCACAAAATAGGTAGTCAACAACTGTTAGCTGACACAGTGTCTTGACCACTAATATTGGAAATAAGGGTAACCTCAAAAGCTTACCATTTTTATGCTTTACACACAACTGCTGAAGTCAACGTAGCTTTCAGAGAATCCAAAAATGACCTGCACAACCAGTAGTTTAATTGGTTGATCACACTACTTAGTTTTATTATAAACCTATTGGGCTGTCATCATCACAATCCACAGCAAGAAATTTTATTATTGTTCTGTTCACTCCTCCACAAAAGAATTTTAGGGCCCATTTAAAGGTTCAAACACCTAAGTAAAGTTATTAATCCTTCCTTGAGAGAGTAATAGCCTTTCAACTTTGGTGATACATCATTGGTAAGCCAAAGTCATACATCATATCATCTTCGTATCTACCTCCAACAGAGATTATGGAGTGCTCAAAGGATCCATGGCATTATTCTAATGATAAAATATTTTAGATAAAGGTGGAAAATGGTACAGGATCTCTGCAAACCTGCCTTCTTTCCTATAAGAAAGTTTAGATTATTAACCAGCAAATATTTACTGAAATCCCCACTAGACATTTTATTTTTGCCTGTCCAGCATCAATTTCCCATTATGCTGAAACAAAAGCTCACCTTTCCTTTGGGGAACCACCCCTTCTCCAATTTGAGTGCACATATTACAGGAGGGAGAGGGCAGCTCATCCAACTCCATGACTCAAGATAAACAACATGACTCAGGACGAGCACATGACCCCATAATGCCAAATAAAGCCAAAGAGCATCAAACCCAGGGCTTTCCCTGCATGTGTTGAGAGAGGAAAGCTGTTCTTCTATTGTCAGAGGACACAGTTTAGGGAGCTCCTGTATGAGGGCCAAACCAAGACAAATAAATGCAGATACAGTACATAGAAAATGTACTGTATACCAGTGATAAATTTGGCTACCTGATCCAGGATGATTAAATACTCAGCTGACACAGCCCTGGGCCTCCTTTATTACTCAGTGTATGAGTTGGGTTTCTTTAACTTGCAACCAAGAGTTGTGACAACTTACAAGCAACTTAAATTCTGCACCACATTAGGTAAAGTGCCAAAGATACACAGATATGTAAAAAAAAATCCCTGTCTCTAAAAATCTTTTTAGCCTCCATTTGGAAAGATGAGACATAAACACACACACACACACACACACACACACACACACAACTAAAATCATAAGGCTGAACCCAATTATAGGTTCTATATGAGTGCAGAGAAGGGAGACACCAACCTAGGCTGCATATTAAGCAAGATTTCAAAAGAGAATGATAGGCTGGGATTTGAAGAATGAGTAGGATATGGCTACCTGGAGAGGACAGAAAAGATATTTAGAAAGGGTGGAATATCAGAGAAGACATTCAAGAATATAGGTATTATATTGGGAAAACAACATATAGAACATAAGATGTTGACACATGGATATCAATGATAAATACATTAGTGCAGGGGTAAAACATCATAAGCAGTTTTACAATGATATATTATGTATAGCATTTTAAATCTACTCTGATGAGATCATACTGAATAATTGGATTACATTTAACTGTTAAAGAAGAGTTTATTCATATATTTTTAAAAGGATGATGCTGAATACCAAATGGCTATGTTATTTCTTTACAGGCCTGTTTCTATTGTTTTGTTTATTCATTTGCCTTGTTTTTTTAGACTCCACATGTAAGTGAAATTATATGCTATCCATTCTTCTCTGATGTATTTCACTTAATATAATACCCTCTAGACCTCATTCTTTTTTATTGATGAATAATATTCCATTGTATTATATATCCATATCTATATCTATATATCACATCTTCTTTATCCATTCATCTACTGATGTACATCTAGGTTGCTTCCATATCTTGGCTATTACTAGTGATGCTGCAATGAACATAAGGGTGCATATATCTTTTCAAATTAGTGTTTTTGTTTTCTTCAGATAGATATCCAGAAGTGTAATTGCTGGATTGTCTGATTGCTCTATTTGTAATTTTTTGAGAAATCACATACATTTTTCTATAGTGGCTGCACTAATTCACAATCCCATCAATAGTTCTTTTTCCTCCACATCTTCACCAATTGACTCTTGATGTTTGTAGATTTATTAATGATTGCCATTCTGACAGGTATGAGGTGATATCTCATTGTGGCTTCAGCTTACATTTCCCTGATTAGTGATATTGAGCAGTTTTTCATGTCCATTGACCATCCATATGTCCTCTTTGGAGAAATGTTGATATAGGTCCTCTTAATTCCTTCAGATCATTCATTATTGGTATACATAAGTGCAACAGATTTCTGTGTATTGATTCTATATCTTACAACTTTACTGAATTAATTTATTAGTTTTAACAGTTTTGCAGTGGTATCGTTAGGGTTTTCTATATATAGTATTGTGTCATCTGCAAATAATGAAAGTTTTATTTCTTCCTTTCTGATTTGGATGCCCTTATTTATTTTCCTTGTGTGATTGTTGTGGCTAGGACTTTAAATACTATATTGAATAGAAGTGGTGACAGTGGGCCTCCTTGTCCTACTCCTGATCTTGAAGGAAAGGCTGTTCACATTGAGTATGTTATTAGCTGTGGATTTGTTATTTATAAAGGCCATCTATGTTGGGATATGTTTTTTCTATACGCACTTTGTTGAGAGTTTTATCATTAAAGGATGTTGAATTTTGTAAATTCTTTTCTATATTATGATTTTTATTCTTTGTTTTGTTAACATGATGTATCACATTGAAAGATTTATGGATGTTGAACAATCCTTACATCACTTAGATGTGTCCCACTTGGTCTAGATGTCTAATCCTTTTAATATATTGTTGAATCCAGTTTGCCTAAACTTTGTTAAGATTTTTGCATCTATGTTTATCAAGGATATTGATCTGTTATTCTTTCTTTCTCCCTCCCTCCCTCCCTTCCTTCCTTCCTTCCTTCCTTCCTTCCTTCCTTCCTTCCTTCTTTCTTTCTTGTTATTTTTTTTTTATTGTAATGCCTTTGATTGATTTTATATCAGGGTAATGCTGGCTTCATAAATAAATTTGGAAGCATTTTTTCTCTTTAAATTTTTGAAATAGTTGAATTTAAGATGGTTAGGACCTGTGAAGTATCTGGTCCTGGACATTCATTGGTTGAGAGTTTTTTTATTATTGCTAGCCATTGGTCTGTTTAGAATTTGTACTTTTCCAGTTCAACAGTGGAAGGTTATATATACTTCTAGAAATGTACCCATTTCTTCTAGATTTTTAAAATTTGTTGCAAATAAGTGTAATATTCTTTAATGATTGTATTTCTGCTATGCCAGTTGTAACTTCACTTTCATTTGGGCTCTCTTTTTTCTTGATTAGTTTAGCTAAAGGTTTGTCAATTTTATTTATCTTTTCAAAGAATCAGCTCTTATTTTACTGTTCTTTTAAAAAATTCTAATTCATTTATTTTTGCTCTGATCTGAAGTATTTCCTTTCATCTGCTTATTTAGGGTTTCATTTGGTCTTCTTTTTCTAGCTCCTCTAGGTGCAGAGTTAGATTATTTGGGACTTTTCTTGTTTCTTGAGTTCGCCTTATATAGCTGTGAATTTCCTACTTAGAGATGTTTTGCTACATCCCATAAATTTTGAAAAGTTGTGTTTTTATTTTTATTTGTTTTTAGATAGTTCATTTCTTGCCTGATCCATTGATCGTTTGGTAATATGTTATTTAGTCTCTATTAAAAGAGAAAAAACTGTGGGGTCTTTTTTTCATTTCTTTTCCTGTAGTTGATTTCTAATTTCATGCTATGGTCCAAAAAGGTGCTTCATATGATTTCAATCTTCTTGACATTATTGAGGCTTATATTGCGGCCTAATATGTGGTCTGCCCTGAAGAATGTTACATGTGCACTTGAAAGAAAAAGAATTTTATAGACACAGACAGCAATGTGACAACCACAGGAAAAAGAGGGTGGGGGGAGGTGAAAGAGAATAAAGGGGGGATAAATGGTGATGGAAAGAAAATTGAATTAGGGTAGTAAACACACAGTACAATGTACAGATGATGTACTATAGATTATTTACCTGAAACCTATAGATTTTATTAACCAATGTCACCCCAATAAATTCAATTTTAAAAAATAAAGTGTGAACTCTATAGTTTTTATGAAATATTTATAAATGCCTATTAAGTTGATCTGATCTAATGTGTAATTTAAGACCATTATTTCCTTACTAATTTTCAGTCATGATGATCTATCCACTGATGTGAGTGGAGTATTAAAATCTCTTACTTTATTTTAGTACTATGGATATCTCCCTCTATGTCTATTAATAATTGTCTTATATATTTAATTGTTCCCATGTTGATTATATAGATACTTATGATTATTATATCTTCTTCTTGGATTGACCCCTTTATAATTATCCAGTATCTTTCTTTGATTACTTTTTATATATTTTTAAAAGTCTATGGTACATTTACACAATGGAATACTATGCAGCAGAAATAAAGAAGGAGCTCCTACCTTTTGTGACAGCATGGATGGGACTAGAGAGTATTATGCTAAGTGAAATAAGCCAGAAAGTGAAAGACAAATACTGTACTATCTCACCTATAAGGGGAACCTAATCAACAAAACAAATAAGCAAGCAAAATAGAACCAGAGATATTGAAATAAAGAACAAACTGACAGTAACCAGAGGGGAGGTGAGGGGGGATAAGGGGGTAAAATGGGGAAGGGTCATCAAGGAACATATATAAAGGCCACATTTCACTACTTGTAATCTTTCTGTCCATCCAGATTCTCTGATTCTTCCTGATTAAGTTTTAGAAGGTTGTATGTTTGTAGAAATGTATCCATTTCATCCTATGTCTTATTTTTTTGGCATATAGTTCATAATATTTTCTTACAGCCCTTTGTATTTCTGTGGTGTCAGTTTTTACTGTTTTTCTTTCATTTCTGACTTATTTATTTGGATCCTCTCTCCTTCTTATAGTGAGTCTGGTTAATGGGTTGTCAATGTTGTTTATCATTGCAAAGAACTAGTGTTTGTTTTCATTGATTTTTTGTATATTTTAAAAAATTTCTTATTTCATTTATTTCCATTCTAATCTTTATTATTTTCTTCCTTCTACTTACATTGGTTTTTATTTGTTGTTCTTTTTCTAGTTCTTTTAGGTTCAGGGTTATATTTTATATTTGAGGTTTTTCTTGCTTCTTGAAATAGGCCTGTACTGCTATGAATTTTCTTGTTAGAACTGCATTCACTGTATCCTACAGATTTTGAATAGTTGTCTGTTCATTTTCATTTGTCTCAAGGTAATTTTTGATTTCTTAAAAGTTATTTTAATAAGGTTAGAACCAATGGCTATTTCAAAGCATAACAAGTTTCCTTTCTAAAATTTCTTCTTAACAATTTTCTAACACTGACGCGGCTTTTGCCTATCAATTTATCTAGGCATATAATTCTAGATTCTGAGCCATTATCTTTTATGGCTTTAATAATATTATACATTTTTTGTCATCTGCTTTTAGTTCATTGCCATTTTTTGTAGGTGATATATTTTCTCAAAATTTCAGCTTTAGCTCTTAAGAGCTTCTCTTTGGTAGTAGCAGTTTTACCAAGATGTTCTTAGGCATGGATGTGTCTAGGTCTTGTTTATTCTGCTTGGCACTCAATGTGCTTTATTGCTGTGATCACGTCTTCCTTCAATATTGGAACATTTTCTTTCATTAGCAAAAATTCACATCAAGGTTTTGTCTTAATTTCTTAACCATTATGTTTTTAACACATGCCATATTTTTATGCCACCTTGTTGTTATTTTTACAATTCACTCAGACATAATAAACTAATAAAATAGATTTTGAAATTAATTTCCAACTTTACACAAAGAGCCATTTCACATCTGCTTCTTTCTTTAACTTCATCTCTATAACTTGTATTAAGTTCCCTCCACTTACTGTGTAATCTATTTACATTGATACCTTTGCACTGGTAGTCTCCTCACTTTAAATGCCTGTCTGCTGGTGTTTATCTATTCTAATGCCTCCAATCATTCAAAGTACATTTATAAACAATGCCTATTAAAATAATTTTAACATCTATTTCACGTTCTCCAAGTACCAAGTACAATCGCTGCACTAGGCCCCAGAGATAGAGCAGAGAGCATCCCTCTTAACTGGGATGTTTTCTCCTCATAGCACCATAGTACACTCCTCCATTATAGTACTTACCACAAAAATGTCATCATTCTTTCTTGTCTAAAGGCTTTGATATTTTAAAAAAATTAATATTTATTAATTATCTACTATGTACTACCTTTATTAATCACCTGCTTTGCTAAGCACTGCCCATGATTACCTCAGGTATCACTGATCACAGCCCTGTGAGACAGGACCACTATTATCACAATTTCACTGATGGAAAGTTAGTCTCAAAGAGGAAATTAAGATGATGCAGGTGATAAGAGCTAGGGCCTCTCATCAAGGTTAATTTGTCAGATTCCAAAATTCCAGGAACACATGAATTCTCAGAGAGCTGGAGCTCTTTATTCTCAGCCCTTGGTAAAGGACTTGACACATAATAAGGAAAACATTAATGAGTTTGAGTGGATAAATAAATGATGACAGAATAAAATTCTTTAGCGTGAGTATCTTAAATTCGGTTGAAATAAATGAGGAATAACTGAGTTGAATAGCATTGGAAAGATGGTCCAGGATCTCTGGTTAAGCCCAAGGAATCACACATGGGTTCCCTCCCCAATCATAGTCTCTACTTAGTATCTTTGTGAACTTGGCCCAATTACTTCACTCCTTGGCACCTTGGACTTCTCTTTGGTGTCATTGGGTTATTTTGAACATTAACTGAAGTATCCCAGGTGACATGCTTAGCACAATGTCAGACACATACTCAGTGCTACATGAATGTTGGCTGTGGTTACTATTATTAGGTTGCAATTTCTTTCTTTGAGATGAGACTAGCAGCTCATCAGGTGTTTTGAGAAGGAATCTATCAGAGCAAGATCTGTCCCAAGAAGATATTCATTGGGAAAAAATGAACACGGAAACTTGCCCAAGGAATTCATATCATGGAGTGGAAAACTGTTTTGGCAACTTTTGCCAAATAATATGGCCTGTGTTGTAGTCATCAAATGTCTCCTCAATATAACGATCCATTCCAGAAGGTTATGTAAGTGAGCAAGATGGAGATTTCCTCCCACATTGAGAACCAACACACATATCTATTTTCATTTTTCCTGATGACCTTTCTTTTCTCTTAGTGTTTAATGTCCAGCTGGTTTTAACTTTTAAATTTTTCCTTAACTGTTATTTCACTTTGACAGTAGCCCTCACTGGCAATGGCTCTGCCAGATTTACCTCTATGATACGTATGTAATATATTAAAAATGCAATGGAGCAGAAGAGCTGGCATTTAAATCCAGATCTTGTGATTCATCAGGCATTCTCAGCAATAAAACATGTACAAACTCTCTTTGTAATCGGTACTGATTCTCAGCACTTCTATTTAACACAGCCCCAGAAAAGCTTGCAAGAACAGACAGGTTATTAAAATAAAAGCATGCAAATAGAAAAAAAAGAAGTAAAATTGGCTCTATTTGCAGATGACATGATCATATATGTGTATATGATATATACATGTATATTATACATGTATATATATATATGATTATGATATATGCACACATACATGCCATGTTCATATACATATATAATGTAAAATCTCCTCCAAAAAATTGCTAGAATTAGTTGACAAATTCAGTAAAGTTACAGTATACAAAGTTAATATACAAAAAACAGTTGTGTTTCTATATAGTGACAACAACACATTTGAAACAGAAATAAAAAAGAATCCCATTCATCAGTACATCAAAAACAATAAGGTTCTTAGTAATAAATCTAACCAAGGAGATAAAAGACCTGTACACTAAAAACTATAAGATAAAAGATATTGGGGAAGACACAAACAAATGGGAACAAACCCTATGCTCATAGATCATAAGAATTAATATTGCCAAAATATTCACATTACCCAAAGCCATCTCTAGGTTCAATGCAATATCTGTTAAAATTCCAATGGCATTTTTCACTGATATTAAAAAAATCCTAAAATTTATCTGAAGCCACGAAGGGTGCCAAATAGGCAAAGCAATCCTAAGAAGGAAGAACAAAGGCAATTAATCACACTTCCTGGTTTCAAACCATGCTAGAAAGGCTAGAGTAATCAAAACAGTACGATACAGGCATAAAAAAATAGACACAGACCAAAGGAACAAAATCAAAAGCCCAGAAATAAACCTCCACAGATTTGGTCAAGTAATATTTGACAAAGGAGCCAAAAATACTCAATGGGGAAAGACATTCTCTCCAATAAATAATGCTGTAAATGGAATAACCATATGCAAGAATAAAATTGCACCTCTACCCTACACCACTGACACACATAGACACATGAATCAAAATAGATTAAAGACTTAAGTTTAAGAACTGAGATCATTAAACTCCTAAAAGAAAACAAGGGGAAAAATTCTTTGACATGGCTTTCAGCAGTGATTTCCTGGCTATGACAGCAAAAGCACAGCCACAAAAGCACACAAATGATTGAGAACACATCAAACTAAAACATTTACACAGCAAAACAAATTGGACAAAGTGAAAAGGCAACCTACAGGGTGAGAGAAAATTGTTACAAATTATATATCTGATGAGGGTCAATATCCAAAAAGGAGCTATACACCTCGATAGCCAAAAAAACTAACAACCTAATTAAAAATGGGCAGAGGGACTGAATAGATATTTTTTCCAAGGAAGACATACAAATGGACGACAAGTACATGAAAAAGTACTCAACATCACTAATCATCAGGTTTTACAACTTAGATGGATCTTAAGGGCATTACACTAGCTGAAATAAGTCAGATAAAGACAAATATTGCATGATATCTCCTCTATTTAGAATCTAAAATAGACCAACTCAGAGAAATAGTAAAGTGTTGGTTACCAGAGGTCAGGATGGGGAAAATGTTCAAAAGGTACAAACTTCCAGTTATAAGATTAACAAGTTTGGGCATCTAATGTACAGTATGATGATTATAGCTAATAATGTTGTATCATATATATGAATGTTCCTAAGATAGGAGGTCTTGAGTGTTCTCATCATAAAAGTGAAATAAATAACTATGATGGGACAGAGGGGGTAGCTAAGACTATGGTAATAGTGACTTTGCAATTTATAAATGTATTTAATCAACATGCTTTACACTGTAATTATATAATATTGTTTCAATTATATTTCAATAAAGCTATGAAAAATCATTATGCTATCATAGAAATCAATTCTTACATACTAATCTAATTAGAATTGGTTGATTTAGATAAGAAAAAAGAATAAGAGGAGGCCTTATGTTCATACTCATGTAAAAACCACCCTTTACCTTTGATGGAGAAACAAATTCAACACATTCCATCCATGTGGTTAAAAAAAACTTTCCACATATTGCACATTCTCTTCCCTTAGAGAGTGTGTTCTTGACCTCTGGGTACCCTTCTATGGCTTGCATTAAGAAAGGATTATTTTCTTCTAGCTGGTTCATTATAAATCTTGATGTTATTTCCTAGATTTAAAAAAATATGATTCTTCAGATAATTTTCAAAATAACTTTTATATTACATTGTCATTTCACTAATTTATATTTTTGGTTTATTCCTCACAGTGTCTGTTAAATTAATTTTCATATATATGTAATATTATCAATGACTAGTATTGTAAATGAGTTTAGTTTTCAACAATGTAATAAAAGCAACTTACTCTCATTTTACTAGTTCCATGCCTTTTACAGATGTGAATCCAAATTATAATAAATTTACATTATTAGATAAACTTTAGTTCAAATTTCATACCTCTCATTACAATAATCACAGACCATACAAACATTTAGTCTGAACTCAAATATTGCATCTGCCATATTTACTAAAGCCTAAATCCTTACTACAAAAATTGTGGGTCATGGACCAGTAGAACCCATATCACCTGGGAGTTTAACAAAGATTCAGACTCTCAGATGCACTCCAGACCTCCTGAGTCAGAATCTGTAGTTAACAAAGTTTCCCAGGTAATCCCTTTGCAAGTGAAAGTTGGAGAAGCATTAGTCTAAATTACCTGCTGCTTTGAGCACCTGAATAGAGCCATATTGGTAAAGAACACTGGTTTATCAATATTAACCAAATCTCTGAATTCAATCTGTACTAAACTTATCCACACAGGTATTCTATTTCTATTAACCAAACCTCTGAATTCAATCTATGTTAAACTTATCCACACAGGTATATCAAGAAACTTCACTTAAGGTAATAATAATATTACAATATTAAATAATAAAAGAGGTGGTGAGGAAATATATATAGGCTGAATTTCATCATAACTATTAATATCATCAAGTAAAATATTTAATAAAACTGTATAATACTTAAATCTTCACTGACCAAGCAAACAAAACAAACATCTGATTTACTCCACTAAGTGCCCCCCACCATTGTGACAGTAGCCTAGAAGTCCCGTATAAATGTTACACAAGCACTATGTGAATTTTAATAAATGTGTGGAACTTTCTTTCTGGCCAAAGTGAAGGATTTCCCAGTGGTATTAAAGTAGTCCCCACCAGGCTTTGAGAGGAATCTTTGGGAATACCTACATATGTACATAAAAAATCTTTCACTCATTCAACCCAACTAAAATCTTTTAAAAATAACAATAAAATATCACTCTCTCCCTTCCACTTAAGAAGCATCTGGGAGAGCTCTTTATCCAGCAAACAGCCCTGAGCACTGGCTCCTTAAACGTCTGATGTTTCACCAGCACAACCTCCTGCCCACTGACGCTCGTTTTCCTGGGTGGTCACCATATTTTGCCGTGTATAATGTGAAATTTTTTACCCAAACTTTTGAGGGAAAAATGAGGATTCATATTATACATGAGTATAATAATTACATACCATGGGTATAATGACAGGTAAAATAATCCCATGTATAATAAGCACAAAAACATGAGTGCACATTATACATGGCAAAATACAGTATAGAATTGAGGTCATTTTTTGTGAAAAAATTACTTTTTCATACTAATATTACCAGGACTACTAAATCACACATCTGTTACCACCCTTTTTTTGCCTACTTACATGGAGCATAGCTTGGGGTTCTGAGTAAAACATTGATTTTAAGGGCAAGTTTTTAGCTACACAAATCAAAGTCTAGGTCTCACTACAAAGCTTCAGAAAACTAATAAAAGATTCACTCCCATCAAATGGTAGAAGAATTTACTGAAATACATGAGACCTATAAATATGTCACAGTTCAAGCAATTCCCTTTTTATGATTTTTAGAACCAAACATGTCTGTTTTATTCGATACATCTGGAAGATATACCATTGAAATATAAAGTTATTACTTGGAAATATACATATTTATATGTGTGTGTGTATTTGCCATGCTAATAGTATCTTTTAAGACATCTTTTAAAGATATAAGCAATACAGTTTTTGAGAATATACAACTTAATGGTAGCCTAACTCCAGTGTTATTTAAGAGTTAAAAAATCTTTTATGGACCAAAAAAAATGTTCCTTTTGAATAGTTCATTTGTTATTTTGTTAGAATATTTGTTAGCTAAGTATATGTAGGTCAGAGATTATTCCTATGTTTAAACCATGATAGGTTAAAATTGGTTGCAGGTTTATTTTATTTTTCCTTACATATAATTATTTCACTTGAAATATAAAACTATCTATATATAAATCATATTTATATAGATATAAAATATATAAAATTTTAAAACAAACATGAATCCTTGGAAGAAATGATCAATTTAGCACTATGGTCAGGTGATACCGCTACTCCGTGTAGGACAGACACTAAAACACAGATAGCACCAAGAAAAAAGATGGAACAGACTGACGGTTGCCCGGGGGCTGGGAGTTTGGAGGGCTGTGTGAAGAAGGTGAAAGGACTAAGAACTACAAATTGGTAGTCACAAAATAGTCCCAGGGATGTAAAGTACAGCTTTGGGAACACAGTCAATAATATTGTAATAACTGTGTATGGTGCCAGGTGGGCATTTGAAATATTGCAGGGTCTGCTTTGCAAGGCATATAATTGTCTAACCATTATACTATACACCTGAAACTAATACAAAATAATATTGAACTCAAACTGTAATTTAAAAATAAAACTTTAAAAAAGAGCAAATACTCTGTGTCAAACTCAGCCAAATAGGTGTAATCCAGGCTATATGACTTACTAGCTGTGTAACTCTTCTCACAAGTTCTGACTTCTCTACCTCGGATACCTCACCAATAAAACAGGGAAGTTTGTCCAATGCCATCTTATAGAGTTCAAAGAATTAAATCAGATAACATGGGTAAAACTCTTAATCTCATACCTACTAACACAGAATATTCTGGCTAATATTTAGTTATAATCTACCTATCAACATTAAAATTTAGTTCATAAATCTGTAAGGTGAATAAAAATGTTTAAAAATCTTAACCAAGACTATCTTGAATCAAAGCTCTATAATTCTTTGACAGTCCAAGTATGCAATAGTTTAATTAGTAATGTTAAGCAAATGTCCAGTAGAAGTAACTTTTACTCTAAGTACAAATATGAAATGTGTAATAAATGTGTTAACCTTTCTAAGAAAAATTCTTAGAGATGCTTTAAAAAGTACCCAAATTATTCTTGCCTTCAAAAGTACCCTCATAAGACCACTGCCACCTCCAGCCCCATCTGCAATCCAGAACCTCCTTTAACCAGGGACTCCCCAACACCTGCCCCGACCCCACCCTCTATTTCCTTTTCCCTCACCCCAGGCAGCCCCTTCTTGAGGTGATTCTGCTACAAGGAGTCTGGGGCCCAGGTGCTTAGGTTGGTTGGCATCATATTTCCAACACTGAACTAGCTCTGTGACCCTGGACAAATTATGTAACCTCTTTGGGGCTTAGTTTATCTATAAGAGGGCAACAATAATGATACCTACCTTTTTAAGTTTATTGGATGGTTAAATTAATTCATTTCTGTTCCGTGCTTACAACAACGCCTTGCTCATAGTAAGCTTAACAGGTGTTAGTTTTTATTATTGTTATTATAATTGTTATTCTAAAATGCTTGATTTGAGAACAAATACATTATTAAACAAATTAATCCCTGTAGTTTCTAAAATCATTAACAATTAAATATCAAATAGGACTTTTTTCACACAAGAGTAGAAAATAATACTGTTTGTGGAACTATAGATAGACTCCCTGGAAGGGAATTTGAAAAGAGCTAGCCAAACTTTTAAAAAATGACAATTTTTGACAAAGCAATTTCACTCATAGGGATATCATGCAGAGGAGAAGTTTGCTATGAGGATGGTCATTGTAGCCTTCTCTGTAAAGGCCAAAAAGCCAATTAATTATTAATAACCTAAACAGCCAACAGTAGGAAAGTAGTTAAAAATATTATGTTGTAGTATACCAGAATATTATATATCCATTAAAAAGAGATCAGAGATTTATTTCTTTTATCAACTGGAAAGATATTCACAATAGTTTGAGGAAAAGAAAACAACTCTCAAATAGTATGTGGCATCTAAATTCATCTTTAATTAAAAAAAAAACTTCTGGATGAATGGAAAGTACTAGCAGAATAAATGTCAGGGAGAATAATGGTAATATCTCAACATACTTGATTTCTAAGTAATCTTATCAACTTCCATTGCTTTTGTGCTAATTTCTCCAAATGAGTTTGTATTGCTTTTGTAATAAACTTTTCTTTTAATCAGTATAACATTGAAATTTTCTTCCTCATTCATCTGTATTTTCTAGTTCTCTGTATTGAGCATATGGAATCTGTGCAACAAGGGAAAATGTTATTTATAGAAAAAAACTAAACCATTCAACAAAATTGGTTGTTTCCTGCATCTAAGAAACTTGAATCCTACACAATTTTTGAAAGTCTTAAGATAATCCTGAATGTTCACTTATAGCCTTAAAAGGACCTGAGAAGTTCATGATGGAGACATACTCAATTGTGGGAAGATCTGCAAAGGTTAGCTTGTCTATTACCAAGAGACCCACAAAGAGAGTCCCCTAATATGCTTTCCAATTCCTTTTTTATTATTTTTATTTTTAAAATTTTTCACTTACTGATTTTAGAAAGAGAAAGAAAGGTAAAGAGAAAGAGAGAGAGAGAAACATCAATTTGTTGTTCCACTGATTTATGCATTCATTGGTTGATTCCTTTATGTGCTCTGACCAGGGACTGAACCCACAACCCTGCTGTATCAGGATGGCATGCTAACCAACTGAGCTACCCAGCCAGGACTTCCTGTTCCTTCTTTTAATATCACCAAGTTATTTGACTAAAGCAAACATGATATCTGGATCATAATCATTCATCCAATAGGAATGGGCTGAAGTAAAAAAGGGATAGGCAAAGAAAAAGAAAATTTAAAAGATAACAATATGGTGATTGCAAGAGAGAAAGGGGGATAGGAGAAAGTAGAAGAGGATAAAGGGGGGATTAATGGTGATGGAAGGAGACTAGACTTGGGTAGGTGAACACATAATACAATATACAGATGGTGTATTATAGAATTGTATACCTGAAACCTATATAATTTTATTAACCAATGTCACCCAAATAAAGTCAATTTAAAAATCCTTAAAAAGAGGGCAGGGAGGTGAGTGGGAAGGGCAAACCCCAGTAAGACCCCAGTAAGAACAAATCAAATATATTCTTACATAATACTAAAAAATACTTGAAAGGTGATAGTAAAAACAAATTCTACTCTTTCCATACAACAAAAATGTTTCTATTTCTCTGAATTTAGTCACTCTGGAAATTAGGTAGAAAGACACTGGATTCTATAAGCAAGTCAAAGAGATTGTGTCTAGGATTCACATTGCCAATAGACTCGGGTGACATCAATCACTTGTTGATGAGGTTGGAATGCTTGAAAAGGAAACTCTTTAAAACTGAAACCAGGGCTTTAGTGGAGACTTGTGTGGGTGATAGATGGTCTCACCTGTAGACTCCAGACATCCTGCTTTATCGCAGCCCTGACTGGCTGCTTCAGGAACAGTGGGTTTTCCTCACAGTAGAATTCCCTCAGCTTCAGATTCTGAAACTTTGAAAACAAAATAAAAACTTCGTTTCACAACAAAATAACAAACTTCACTTCTGAGGCCACATATTCAATAAAGTTGTATTAAAAATGCTTTATTTAGGGCATATTCTGCAATAGTATTTTTACAGCAGGACATACTCCAGTGATTAGAAGCATAAGAATCTCCATGCTGGCTAGAATGGCAATGACCTTAGAGGTCACTGGTGGCATCCCTTACACTACAGAGCTGAGAAACCTTTTTCAAGATCATAGGAATTATTAGTAATGGAATAGGGGTTAATTAATCAAAAGCTAGAAACATTTTGCAAATAATATATTTGTTAGAAAACCAAATATGATGAAAAATAGCATTCTAATATACAGTAAAATTCAGGTCTTAAAGACTGTCTTATAGAATTATAAGACAGTGGACATTTTATGTTCAGTGAAGAAGGTAAGAGAAACAGAGAAACATCAACATGTTCTCATTATAACATGTTGTATACAGTGAAATTTTTTTTTAAAAAAGGAAAACATACAATTCACAAAAATTTTCACTCTTCTATGAAGGAAACCTAAATTCAACTGGAGTCTATTATTTGAGTAGAAAAATAAAGAATTCTTTTATATTTATATTATGCCTTGCTTCCCAAGAACTCATCTAGTTTTCAAAGTCAAACTCATTTAGGGAATTACTTTTCTGAGTTTTAGTTTCAACTGTGAAATGGAGAAAATAAGACCTATCTTCAGACAAAACAGTTCTCTGGAAATAAAAAACAGAATCTCGATTTGTGGATCTGTGGCATGTTTTGACTTCATGGTGTAAACACTCTTTTCTTTTAAATTTTATTTTTATCCTCACCTGAGGATAAAAGAAATGAGAGAAGAGAGGAAGGGAGAGAGAGAAAAACATCAATTGGTTGCCTCCATATATACCCAGACCAGGATACTACATCTTAGACCCAAGATCAGACCCAGGATCAGACACCTGACTGGGAACTGAACCCTAGACCCTTAACTTATGGGACGACAGATACTCCTGCCAACTGGGCCACACTGGCCAGGGTAGATTTTATAGTGTAAATACTCTCACCATGGTTGATTCCAGTCACCGAACACAGAGTTGGGGAGAGATGGACAAAATCAGCTCTTGTGAGCCAGGATGAGCTGGCACCATTATACCGCTATTACAAGAGAATTAGAGATATTTCCCTGATTTCATCCCAGGGTTTGAAACATAATAAGCATTCAACAAATTAAAAATAATTGATTTGAAACATCTTTCCAAGGTGTCATGTCATTGACTTCAAAAGTCTCAGGAAATTTCTACAACATAGACAAGATTTAAAAACATAGAGCTCAAGACCATGTTGGAATCACCTTTTCTCATAGCATTACAACAGACATTCTGACTTTCTTAGTTCAGTTCCTGTGTTTCCCATCAACAGGGAGCAACCTAGAGAGTTGGGTGGTAGCCCAAAGTCAGCTCTGGAGACGCTGAAGTGAAAAAGGCACTTCTTGTGCTTAATGGAAACCTTCTGTCATAAAGAACAACATTCCACAGTTTATACCTACACTCACAGTTCTTTTTTCTCCAAACTGATAGAAAATTGAACATTTTCGTATACGTGAATATCATTAACACATACAAGCCTCATTTCAAATTTGACCATGGTTCAAAGGGCATACATTTCTCTTTAAGGGTCATGTCTTTCTTTCTTCAAATCCTGTTACTATTCTTCTATCAAGCATAGTAATGAGTTGTCAAGCTTGCTAACATATTACATAAAATGTATCAGAAAGAATTCATCTTAATACAATAACAATTAATTAAATTTACAGCAGCTACATTTCAATAACCTAGTCACGCAACCTCTCAATGTCCACTCTGAATATTCCCCAGAGCAACATTTTTTCATACCTTCTCTCTATATGTACTACTGGGTGTCCTATCAGACTTCTTAATTGTCCTCACTCTGGCAGTATAATCAGCTACATTCTCTGCTACAAATAAAATGGTACAGCTTTTCAGAGTCTCTTTTAGCATGCCTGCTCAAACAACCACTGCTATGTGTTTAATTTTAACTGGAACAAATTTTTCTCCTCCTGTCCAAAATGGGTCTACTGATAGTTTTGGTTAACACAAATGGGGAAGGCAGGGACATTTAATTAGTAAAGACCAGGGATGCCACTAAATACCCTACAATGCACAGAACAACCACCTATAACAAAGAATTTCTAGGCCTGAAATAGTACTAAAGTTGGAAAATCCTGGTTTAGAGACACAAGATCATAAACAATTGATGCCTTATATAAACATTCCCCCATCTTATCTGGAGAGAGGATTAGCAGCTTGAGGGAAATGTTGGTTCAAATGAGAGTTTTAATTTTTTTAAGATGAAGAAAACTTAAGCATGTAGAAGGTGTGTCAACATAGATTAATGTAAAAGAGAAAGAAGGAATGCTTGAAAGTAATGATCAGGTAAAGAATACAAAATTATCTTTGAATATTAACATCTTCAAATTATGCCCTCTGTGACCATAAGAAAGGAGGTGTAGAAGCAGTCATGGATGAGTCTGAAGGTATGGGATTGGATGGTTGATAGAGAAGAATGCATGAAGAAGATAATACACATTTAAATATTCCATAGATTTTATAAGAGGTCCTGATCAAACCCTGGCTGGAGTAGCTCAGTGGATTGAGCTCGGGCTGGGAACCAAAGTGTCCCAAGTTCGATTTCCAGCCAGGGTACATGCCTGGGTTGCAGGCCATAACCCCCAGCAACCGCACATTTAAGTTTCTCTGTCTCTCTCTCTCTCCCTCCCTTCCCTCTCTAAAATAAATAAATAAAATCTTAAAAAAAAAAAAGAGGTCCTGATTAGGAACAAGCAAAAATATTGTACAGAGGTACTAAGGGACCCACTAGAATCCACACATTTGTATTGGACTCTGTCCATGTATAGCATGCTTCCCTTTAGCATCTGGCAGTCCATATCCAATATCAAGAATCTGGAGAATGGACATGTGAGAAAGCAAGGAAATGACCATGCAGTATGTACTAAAACTAATTGATTTGGATTGGGCCTTTCATGGTCTACACTAGATTTAAAAAAAGAAATAAGAGTGCAAAGATTTTTTTAAATTATTTTTTTCAATACTAGTTTACATTTTAATGTTATTTTGTATTAGTTTCAGGTGTACAGAATAAGTGTTAGACAATCATATGCTTACAAAGTGTTGCCTCTGATATTTTCAGTACCCACCTGGTACAAAGTTTAATGGACTAGAAGAACAAGGAGAAATAGATGGGCATTACTCTCAGTGATCTAAAAGAAAATATATGGCTTTAAAGCAATAAGGAGCTGGAACACAGGGGACACCAGGGGTCAAATGGACATAGTGGGCTTTAATTCTTTAAGTCTAGAGTGGGTGAGGATTATGTTAAGACCGAGACATGACTGAGCAGGTGGTTTGCTGAGGTAAAGACTGGCAAAGATCATTAAAATGGAAGATTCATGTATCTTGGAATCTAAATTGTTTGCATAAACCACCTTTACAAAGCAACTTTCTGAGTGATGCTCTCAAATATTTGCTGGCCTACTGGACATCTCCAGCTGGAAGTCCCACAATCATCAAATTCTAACATTTGAACCCCACCTCATGTTTCCCACACATTTTTCTCTTTTTCCTCATCACTAACATCAAATCTCCCATCATGTCCTTTTTATCTTCTTAAAACTTCTCTCATCCTTTCTTTCCATCCCACCCTTCTCCTCACCACCTCTACACAATCTCTTCCTACTTCCCATCCCAGTCACAGCCTTGATTAAGACTTCTACCTTACGTGAATTATGACAACAGCACTCTAATTGGTCCCAGGGAAATGCTTTGCTCTTAACTTAATCTTTTAAAATGAGAATCTGGTCATAATACAACTTTGCTTACAAGTTTTCAAGTCTCCTTCTTGTTCACAGGACAAATCAAAACACCAGGTACATCATATTTGGCTTACCTCAACCTGTTTCTCTAACCATGTATCTGGTAACTCCTGCCTTCACCATCATACACCAGCCATCTTGAGGTACATAGGGGTCTTTTCTCACAGTTAATACTCATACTGTGCCCTTCTGTTCACCCTACTCCTGGGTGAGTAGAGATTACCTACTCCTGGGTAATCTCTTCAAGCCTGAAATATCACCTCCCTAAGCTTCTCTATCAAATGTTTCCCTGTTTCCTGCTTGGACCTTATGTATAAATTATTCATACTATCTATAAATGCTATGAAAAGTCTATTTTTATCTGTTAGGCTTTGTTCTCTTTAAGAGCTTTATCTTAAATGACTGTATAATGCAAGCTCTAAATTCAGTGGCCAGTGCATAGCTGATGCCCAATTCATTGATACATAAATGAATATCTTCTCACAAACCCCAAGTACACATAGCTCTCCCTGGGCACTCAAGGTTTGCAAAGGCCTGCTTCTCCAGACTTGGTTGGTTGTTAAAGCTGGTCCTGCAAAACTCCATGCCCTAGGAGCAACATATAAATTCAGCAATGCATAAGTCCCTTTTTGCTTTGAACTAACCTAAAGTAATCAGAAGAAGGCTGTTTTAGCCAGAACATTGTTAATATAAAATAAAAAAGAAAGGTGACTGGGATTTTACATGGACTCAAAAACAGAACTGATGAATAAGCTATAGCAATGAAGAGTACTATGTACCCTTCAGATCGTCTCAAAGCTCACAGGGTTATCCTTTAGCAAGAATTGGAATTTCTAAATAAGCTAAAGACCAACTTGTGTGGAGGGTGAGATTTTAAGTGTGGGGGTTATGGCAGCCAAAAAATATATATTAGTTAACAATTCTTTTTAAAAAGGACATGAATAAGAATTGTGACCAATAAGAAATTCAAGAAAATGTATAGCTTGATATCTAAACAGAACTGTGGAGTGATTAGGCTGATTAGTATCCTTTAGATATAAGAAAGTCAGGAAATCTGTTGTGAATATTCCTCCCATATACCCTATATGAATGAAAGGAAAATTGAAAGTGACCTTGAGTGAGAAGTGTTCAGTTGGACACTATCCAAGAGAAGACCCTTAGAGCTAATGGAAGAAAGGACACCAAGAGAAGCCTGGAGGGAAGGAGATAACTGAACTTCCAGGCTCTACACACATGCGTGTGTGTGCACACACAAACACACACACACACACACCGGGGAGAAGCAGCTGAAGGCTCTGAAGCCCAGCCACCTCCCTGACTTCAATATGCTGGGCTTTAAAGCTAATGGAACAGTGGCTTCAGCATCATATTCAGGCCTCACTGTAAAAACAGCAACTAATCTTGGAGGACTCAGGTATCTTCTCACAATCCCTATCCCATACCTGCTTTAGACACCATCTCTGTCCCTGAACTATCTGAGCACCAGCAGCTGAACAGGCCTCTGCATCTACTCTGCCCTGTAAGTGCCACCTCCAACACCACAATCTCCTTAGAGTGTAAATCAGAATACATCGCTTCTATTGCTCAAAACTATCCAGTGGCTCTCATCTCACTCAAAATAAAATGCAAAGCCTTCACACCGACAAACAGGATTCAGTTATGAGTAGACCTGGAACTGTCTATTTGACCTCACCTCCTGGTAGTTACACATCTTCTCACACTCTTTATTTCTCTCTCCATTCTGTCCACATTAGCTTTCTTTCCAAGTATTCTTCACCTCAGGGTTTTGAACATTTTTCTTCTTTGAATATTTTGGTCTCAGGTTTGTCCATATCATTAAAGTATAGAATAAAATGGAATCATCTACTTAGTAGTTTGAGAAGGAAATGGCTTATGACTCAAGGATTCAACAACCAGAAACATTTTCATTAATGTCAAGGCAATGTACCTCTAGATCCCAAGAAGAAAGATTAATTTGCTTTGAGCCCTGAGAAAATATTTATCTGCTGATATGGATTCCCCATGGTCAACTAAGGGTCCAAATTTTGTAGATAATAAGAGTCTAGTGGCTATTTTCTGACTGAGGCTTCCTACATATTCCGTATACCGGGAAGAACCTCAGGCTTAACTCTCGGCTTCCTATACTATGCCTGTTTGTTTACAGCATCTGAGTTAACCACAGAAGGGAAACAAGAGTTTATTATTTCTACCAATAGACTGAGACCAGCCCTGTCCAATCAGAGCTGCACAAATTGTAGACCTTTTATGCACAAAACAGATTTAATGAGAACCTGGGAAGGAACGTTTATTCTAAATGACAACCTCCCCTTTATCTCAGTGGAACTCAATTTGGGTTGCCACCTAAATCTGTATCTCCTCAGCTGCAGCTTATTTTTGCTGAAATCAATGAATTTTATTCTTTATAACAGTCTAAAATTAATTTTGGCTTACACACCTTAACCAAAGAAAATTACACAATACACATAGTGGCTAAAAGAAAGTAAAAAGCAAACAAACAAACAAGAATTTGGGGAACAGTGCTCACTATAGCAACACACATACTAAAATTGGAATGATACAAAGAAGATTAGCATGGCCCCTGCACAAGGATGGCATGCAAATTTGTGAAGCATTCCATACTTTTATGGATTTAATTGATATATTCAGAACATTTCACCTCAAAAAAGCAGAATGCACATTCTTCTCAAATGCACACGGATCATTCTCAAAGATAGACCACATGGTAGAATACAAAATAGGCTTTATCAAATTCAAGAAAATTGAAATCATATCAAACATTTTCTTAGATCGCAATGGCTTGAAACTAGAAATCAACCACACACACACACACACACACACACAAAACCCTCAAAAACATTCAAATTCATGGAGGCTAAACAACATATTATTAAACAATGAATAGATTAACAATGAAATCAAGGAAGAAACCAAAAACTACCTGTCACCAAATGAAAACAAACTCACGACAACCCAAAAACCTATAGGATACAGCAAAAACAGCCCTGAGAGTGAAATTCATAGTACTACTGGCTTATCTGAAGAAGATATAAGAATCTCAAACAAACAATCTAACCCTACATCTAAAAGAACTAGGAAAACAACAACAAACAAAGCCCCAAGTGAGTAGAAGGAAGGAAATAATTGAGATCAGAGCAAAAATAAAGGAAATATAGATGAAAAAAGTAATTAAAGGATCAATGAATCCAGGAGTTGGTTCTTTGAACAGATAAACTGAATTAGAAAATTTTTAACAAGACTCATCACAAAAAAAAGTGGGGACCCAAATAAGTAAAGTCATAAATAAAAGAGGAGAAATAACTGATACACAGAAATACAAAAGAAATTAATATGAACAATTCTATACCAAGACAATGGACAGCCTGAGAGAAATAGATTCATTTCTAGAAACAAACAATCTTCAAAAACTGAATCAGGAAGAAGCAGAAAACCTGAAAAAGCTGATAATGACTAATGAAATTGAAGCAGTATTAAAAAAAACTCCCAGCACACAAAAGCCCTACATCAGGCAGCTTCACAGGCAAATTTTACCAATCATTCAAAAAAGAACTAACACTTATCAGTCTCAAATCATCCCCCAAAATTCAAAAAGACAAAAGATGTCCACACTCTTTTTATGAGGCCAGTATTATCCTAATTACAAAACTAGGTAAAGACACAACAAAGAAAGAAAATTACAGACCAATATCTCTGATGAACATAGATGCTAAAATCCTCAACAAAATATTAGCAAACCAGATCCAGCAACACATTAAAAAGATCATACACCATGATCAAGTGGGATTTATTCTAGAGATGCGAGGATGGTACAATATTCACAAATCAATAAATGTGATATATCACATACACAAAGTGAGACAAAAATCACATGATCATATCAATAGATGCAGAAAGAGCACTTGATAAAATTCAGCACCCATTTATGATAAAAACACACCAAAATGGGCATAGAGGGAGCATACCTCAACACAATAAAGGTCTTAAATGAAAAACCTACTGCCAATATCATACTCAGTAGTCAAAACCTAAAAGCATTTCTGTTAAGACCAGGAACGAGACAAGGATGTTCACTTTAACCACTCTTATTCAACATAGTACCAGAAGTCCTAGCCACAGTGATCAGACAAGAAGAAATAAAAGGAACCAAATTGGAAAAGAGGAAGTAAAATTGTCATTATTCTCAGACAACATGATATTGTACATAGAAAACCCTTTAGGCACCCCCCCCCCCGCAAAAAAAAAACTACTTGACCTAATCAATGCATTTGGCACAGTAGCAGAATATAAAGTAAATATTCAGAAATCAAAGACATTTTTATATACCATTAATGAACTATCAGAAAGAGAAATTAAGAAAACAATCCCATTAACTATTGCAAAAAATAGTAAAGTATCCAGGAATAAATTTAACCAAGAGAGTAAAAGACTTGTACTAAGAAAACTATAGGACACTGAAGAAAAACATTTTGGAAGATATAAGTAAGTGGAAGCATTTATCATGTTCATGGATTAGAAGAATCAAGATCATTAAAATGTACATACTACCAAATCAACTTATAGAATCTATGCAGTTTCTGTTAAGATACCAATGGTATATTTCACAGATCTAAAATAAATATTCCAAAAATTTATGTGAAACCACAAAAGACCCTAAATAACCTCAGCAATCTTGAGAAAGAAAAACAAAATTGAGGTATCATACTACCTGATATCAAACATACTACAAGTCTATAGTAATCAAACAGCATGGTACTTACATAAAAACAGATGTATAGATCAATGGAACAGAATAGAGAGCTCAAAAATAAACCCATACTGTTATGGTCAATTAATATTCAACAAAGGAGATAAGAACATAGAAGAGGATAAAATAGTCTACTCAATAAATGTTGGAAAAACTGGGCAGATATGTCTAAAAAAATGAAAGAAGACCACCCTCTTACACCATACACAAGAATAAACTCAAAATGGATTAAAGACTGAAATGTAAGATTCAAAGCCATAAAAATCCTAGTAAAAATATAGACAGTAATATCTCAAACATTTCTCATAGCAATATTTTTTCTGATATGTCTCCTCAGGCAAGTGAAACAAAAGAAAAACAAATGGGACTACATCACACTAAAATGTTTTTGCACAACAAAAGAAACAGTAAAAAAATGAAAACACAACCAACTGAATGGATAAACATATTCATCAATGACACATATGATTCAGGATTAATATCCAAAATTAATAAAGAACTTACAAAACTCAAAACCAAAACAACAAACAACCCAATTAAAAAATGGGTGAAAGACCTGAATAGACCCTTAAAAGAGGACATACAGATGGTCAATAGACATATGAAGGATACTCAACATCACTAATCATGAGAGAAATACAAATTAAAACCACAATGAGATATCACTTCACACCTGTTAGAATGTCTGTCATCAATAAATCAACAAACAACAAGTGTTGGCGAGGATGTGGATAAAACAGAACAAACTGATGGTGACCAGAGGGGAAGGGGGAGAGGGAAAATGGGGGAAAAGGGAAAAGGGGAAGTGTCTAGTCAAGGAACATGTATAAAGGACTCATGGTAAAGGACAACAGGGTGGGGACTGAGTGAAGGAGAGTGGGGAGGGCAGTAACAGGGAGGAAATGGGGAAATATTGGAACAATTGTGATTGAAAAACAGTTTTATTAAAAAAGCAAACTTTTATACACTGTTGGTAGGAATGCAGATTGCTGCAGCCACTGTGGAAAGCAGTGTGGCGTTACCTTCAGAGATTAAAAATGGAACTGCCTGTGACCCAGCGATTCCACTTCTGGTAATACATCAGAAGAAACCGGAAGACAAGAAACCCAATTAAAAAATGGGCAAAGGACTTGAACAGACACTTCTCCGAGGAGGACATACAGAGGATCCATAGACACATGAAACGATGTTCAATATCGCTAGCTATCAGAGAGATGCAAATTAAAAACACAATGAGATACCACTTTACACCAGTCAGAATAGCCATCATAAACAAAGCAACAAACACCAAGTGTTGGAGAGGTTGTGGTGAAAAGGGGACACTAGTGCACTGTTGGTGGAACTGCAGACTGGTACAACCACTATGGAAAACAGTATGGAATTTTCTCAGAAAACTAAAACTGGATCTGCCTTTTGACCCAGCAATTCCACTGCTAGGATTATATCCTAAGAACCCTGAAACACTAATCCAAAAGAACCTATGCACCCCCATGTTCATAGCAGCACAATTTACAATAGCCAAGTGGTGGAAGCAACCTAGATGCCCATCAGTAAATGAATGGATCAAAAAACTATGGTTCATTCACACAATGGAATTCTATGCAGCAGAAAGAAAGAAGGAGCTCCTACCCTTTTGCAACAGCTTGGATGGAGCTGGAAAACATTATGCTAAGCGAAACAAGCCAGGCAGTGAAAGACAAATACCCTATGATCTCACCTTTAACAGGAACCTAAACAACATAACAAAGAAACAAGCAAAATATAACCAAAGACACTAAAATAGGGGACAGACTGACAGTGACCAGAGGGGAGAGAAGAGGGAATTTCAGGGGGGAATGGGTAGGGCTTACAGGAACAAATATAAAGGACACATGGATGAAAACTAGGGGTGGGTGGAAATGGGAGGGAGGAGGAGAGGGATGGGTGGGTGGGTTGGAATAGGAGTAAAAGATAAAAAATTGTACTGCAACTGTTACAGAACAACAAGGGGTGGGGGCCAAGGGCAATATACTATTACCCGAAAGAAAAACCCCAGGTCCGTTATGCCCGCCGCCTATAGGAAAGATGCCTCTCAATGCCAGAGATTTGTGAAAAGGAAAGGAAATGTTTATTTAATGCTATACTAACTTAAAGTAGTGACCTAATGTCTTCATCAAAATCCCAAAGTCCCTTAAAACACCCACAAACATACACAGCCCTTCCTTCCCCCTTTGCCCAGTCCAGAGTACCGTATCTCAGGAAAGGAAATAGAAGTCCTTGGCTCAGGCAGCCCCCGGTTCTTCCCAGTAATCCGTCTTGGCTGGGAGACCTCCCTGGGTTCCCGGAACCCTCAGCTGTGTCACCGGGATCTCTACTAAAGCCAGGTGGTGGTTCCCCCTTCTAAAGCTTTGGGGGTCCCCACTATGGCAAAGGCACGAGATTCTCTCTCCACTGCTCCAGCCATGTGGTCCTCTCTCTCCCCCAGGACCACAGGAGTCCCCACTCAGTCAAAACCGCATGCTTCTCTCCCTCAATGGCTGCCGTGTCTGGATTTAAATCCCCACACCAATCTTCCTCTGCAGCCCCATTTCCGATTACTTCCACACTCGGCCACACTTGCCCTCAATCCTCCATTCTTTCCAGCTTTTTTGGCTGCCATGGTGGGTCTGGGCAGGTGTGACCCATGTCACAGAGCCAATCATCTCTAAGCTCCCACGCAGGCGCTGCAACTTGGGGGACCTGCCTCCCAGTTACATCTTGGTGGGGAAGTTACTTCCATTCCCCTGGCTCAGAGCAGGGCCACAGCTATTTAACATATCTATGTAACCAGTTAAAGGTTATAGATGTGTTAAATGACCACACCAGAGGTTAGCTTCAAAGCT